ACAATAGCTAAACTGTGAAAGCAGCCCAAGTGTCCATCGATAGATGATTGAATACAGAAGATGTGGTGTAGGGGTGCCTGACTGGCTCAGTCAGTGGAGCATGTGACTCCTGATCTCCGAGGGTTCTAAGTCTGAGCCCCATGTTGGGTGTAGAGATTACTTAAAAATAAAATCTTAAAAAAAAAAAAAGATATGGTATATACACACACACAATGGAGTATGATTCAGCCATAAAAAGAATGAAATCTCGCCATTTGCAGCAACATGGATGGAACTGAAGTATAATGCTAAGTGAAATAAGTCAGTCAGAGAAAGACAAATACCATATGATTTCACTCATATGTGGAATATGTGGAATTTAAGAAATAAAACAAATGAACAAAGGAAAGAGGCAAACCAAGAAACAAACTGTTTTTCCTGAGGATAAAAAGTGCAATTTATTTTTTTAAGATTCTATTTTAATTCCAGTTAGTTAACATAGTGTTACATTAGTTTCAGGTGTAAAATATAATCATTCAACAATTCCATACATCACCTGGTGCTCATCACAAGTGCACTCCTTAATCCCCATCACCCACTCAACCCAGCCCTCCACCCATCTCCCCTCTGGTAACCATCAGTTTGTTCTCTATAGTTAAGAGTGTGTTTCTTGATTTGTTTCTGTCTCTCTTATATTTTCCCTTTGCTTGTTTGTTTTTTTGTTTGTTTGTTTGTTTTTTAAATTCTACATATGAGTGAAATCATATGGTATTTTTCTCTGAGTTATTTCACTTAGCATCTTACTGTCTAGCCCCATCCATACTGTTGCAAATATCAAGATGTCATTCTTTTTTATGGTTGAATAATATTCTGTTGTGTATATATACCACATCTTCTTTATCCATTCATCAGTCATTGGACACTTGGGCTGCTTTCGTATCTTGGCTCTTGTAAATAATGTTACAATAAACATAAGGGTGCATGTAACCTTTCAAATTAGTGTTCTTATATTCTTTGGGTAAATACCCAGTACTGTGATTGCTGGATCATAAGGTAGTTCTATTTTTAATTTTATGAGGAATCTACATACTATTTTCCACAGTGGTTGAACCAATTTGCATTCCCACCAATGGTGCACAAGGGTTTCTTTTTCTCCACATCCTCCCAACACGTGTTTCTTGTGTTTTTGGGGGCAGTTGAGCTGTATAAGTTCTTTATATATTTTGGCTAACCCTTTATTGAATATGTCATTTGCAAATATCTTCTCCCATTCAGCAGGCTGCCTTTTAGTTTTGTTGATTGTTTCTTTTGCTGTGCAGAAGTTTATTTTGATGAAGTCCCAATAATTTATTTTTGCTTTTATTTCCCTCTCCTCAGGAGACCTATCTAGAAAGATGTTACTACAGTTGATGTCAGAGAAATTACTGCCTGTGCTCTCTTTTAGGACTTTTATGGTTTCATGTCTCACATTTAGGTCTTTTTTTTTTAAAGATTTTTATTTATTTATTTGTCAGAGAGAGAGTGCACAAGCAGGGGGAGTGGCAGGCAGAGGGAGAAGCAGGCTCCCTGCTAAGCAGGGAGCCCGATGCAGGACTCCATCCCAGGACCCCGGGATCAATACCCAAGCTGAAGGCAGCCACTTAACCGACTGAGCCACCCAGGCGTCCCTCACATTCAGGTCTTTAATCAATTTTGAACTTATTTTTGTGTATGGTGCAAAAAAGTGGTCCAGTTTCATTCTTCTGCATATAGCTGTCCAGTTTTCCCAGCACCATTTGTTGTAGAGACATTCTTTTTCCCATTGGATATTCTTTCCTCCCTTGTTGAAGATTAATTGACCATATAATTGTGGGTTTACTTCTGGATTTTCTGTTCTGTTCCACTGATCTATTTTTGTGTCAGTACCATATTGTTTTGATTACTACAGCTTTGTAATACAACTTGAAGTCTAGAATTGTGACACCTCCAGCTTCCCCTTTCTTTCTCAAGATTGCTTTGGCTATCCAGAGTCTTTTGCAGTTCCACACGAATTTTAGTATTCTTTGTTCTAATTCTGTGAGAAATGCTGTTGGTATTTTGATAGGGATTGCATTAAATGTGTAGATTGTTTTGGGTAGTATAGACATTTTAATAGTAGTTGTTTTTCCAAGCCACGAGCATGGTATGTCTTTCTTTGTCATCTTCAATCTCTTTCATCAGTGTTTTATAGTTTTCTGAGTACAGGTCTTTCACCTCTTTAGTTAGGTTTATTCCTAGGTATCCTATTATTTTGGGTGCAATTGTAAATGGGATTTTTTTCTTAATTTCTCTTTCTGCTGCTTCATTTTTAGTGTATAGAAGTGCAGCAGATTTCTGCACACTGATTTTGTATCCTGTGGATTTTACTGAATTCACTTATGAGTTCTAGCAGTTTTTTGGTGGAGTCTTTTAGGTTTTCTATATAGAGTATCATGCCATCTGCAAATAGTGAAAGTTTTACTTCTTCCCCACCAATTCAGATCTCTTTTATTTCTTTCTGTTGTCTGATTGCTGTGGCTAGGATTTCTAGTACTATGTTAAATAAAAGTGATAAGAGTGGACATCCATTGAGTATGATGTTCCCTGTAGGTTTTTCATATCCAGCCTTTATTATGTTGAGATATATTCCCTCTAAACCTACTTTGTCGGGGATTTTATCATGAATGGATGTTATACATTATCAAATGCTTTTTCTGCATCTATTGAAATGATCATATGGTTCTCATCCTTTCTCTTACTGACGTAATGTACCACACTGATTGATTTGTGAATCAAAGCACACTTGTAGGGGCGCCTGGGTGGCTTAGTCGTTAAGCGTCTGCCTTCGGTTCAGGTCATGATCGCAGGGTCCTGGGATCGAGCCCCGCATCGGGCTCCCTGCTCGGCAGGAAGCCTGCTTCTCCCTCTCCCACTCCCCCTGCTTGTGTTCCCTCTCTCGCTGTGTCTCTCTCTGTCAAATAAATAAATAAAATCTTCAAAAAAAAAAAAAAGCACACTTGTAACCCAGGAATAAATCCCACTTGATTGAGATGAATGATTTTTTTTAATGTATTTTTGAATTTGGTTTGGTAGCATTTTTTTGAGAATTTTTCATCTATGCTCATCAGGGATATTGGCCTATAGTTCTCTTTTTTAGTGGTGTCTTTATCTGGTTTTGGTATCAGGGTAATGCTGGTCTCACAGAATGAATTTGGAAGTTTTCCTTACTTTTCTCTTTTTTGGAATAGTTTAAGAATAGTTATTAATTTTCCAAGAAACAGATTCTTAACTATTGAGAACAAACTGATAGTTATCAGAAAGGAGGTGGATGGGGGATGGGTGAAATAGGTGATGGGGTTTAAAGAGTAGGCTTACCATGATAAGCACTGAGTAAAGTACAGAATTGTTGAATCACCATATCGTACACCTGAAACTACTGTAACACTGTATGTTATCTATGCTGGAATTAAAATAAAAAACTTTGGGACGCCTGGGTGACTCAGATGGTTGGGCGTCTGCCTTCGGCTCGGGTCGTGATCCCAGGGTCCTGGGATTGAGCCCCACATCGGGCTCCCTGCTCAGCGGGGAGCCTGCTTCTCCCTCTGCCTCTGCCTGCCTGTCTGCCTACTTGTGATCTCTCTCTCTCTCTCAAATAAAATCTTTAAAAATAAATAAATTAAAAAATAAAAAACTTAAAAAAATTTAGAAACAATGATAAACATAACTAAAATACTAAAACTTTCAAAGTCATAAGTACTTATATACCATGATTCTCATTAGTTTCTTCTCTGCTTAGTTATCCTAATTGTGCTTCCTACAAATTATCATAGTGCTAATTCTGTGTTCTAATTTATTATAATTATTACTTGGAACATTTATAAAATTTCAGAGCCCAAAAGAAAATACAGATTAGTGGAGTCCAATGTTGGTCTCCACACAGTCTCCTGGTGAGTTACCAAACAAGACTGCAGACCCCACCACAGATCTATCAAATCAGAACTCTGCTGAGGTGCGGCATGGGGGGGGGTGGCCAGACCTCACAAACTCTAGTTAAAACAAAACAAAAACAAAAGAACAAAATATTCCTGGGCTGATACTGACACAATCCCTGCCCCCTTGGACACACATGAGGGAACTAGGATTCAAAGAGACGAAGGAACCTTTAAAAAGATCTAAGAGCAGTGGAAACTAGAACTACCACTTGAACACTCATCTTGGAACCCTTAGTCTAGTCTTCCTTTTTCAACTCCTGGTGCCCCAGCTGACAGTGAAGGACCCAAAAGAAAAAGGATGTACTATAACTTCATGTATACTCAAAGTTTCCCTTTTGTCAAAATGGGATTCAAACTAACTTGGATTAAGTTCTTCCTATCCTTTTACCAATGTCTACTTAGGTTTTGTTTCTCCTCTTTTCATTTTTCAGTGGTGGAAGACAACTGTACATTTGGCTGATGGCTTGTAAAATATTTTGCATATTTTATACTTTTCCCAGAACAGGAGAGTAAGCTTTCTGTCCCTGAAACTGGCAGTAGACTAGAACAGGGGTTGTGACACTATGACCTATGGGCCAAATGCAGCCCAGTACCTGTTTTTGTACATAAAGTTTTATTGAAACACTGCCACACCTCTCCATTTTCATACTGTCTACCACTGTTCTCTTGCTGCAACTGCACAGTCAAGGAGTTGTGACACTATCTGGCCCTTTGCAGAAAAAGTTTGCTGGTCCTGTTCTAAAATCATGAAAATTATTCTCTGTCATTAAGGACGGAGACGGTAGTAAGAATCTCTTTTTAGTTATGTTGTGTTGATGACTATCATGACAGTCAGTTCTTCTGGTGGAGGTGATAATTAGCAACAAATAACTAAATGGTAGGGAGGAGAAACACAAAACCAACAAACAAAAGATCTGCAAGCCAGATATCCAGGGCCTGACTGCATGATAAATATTATAAATACATGAAATGGGGGAACCACCTTGGCTCTGAATGGGGACCACTGAGACCTTGCCCTGCCTCTCAGCCTACCTGTTCTGCCAGCCAGGCAATGTGCTTGACCTCCTTGCTGCCTCCTGCCGTCCTGGTTGCACCAAGCATGGCATTGAGTTCAGCCAGTACCTGTGGGAGGAGAGCCATTATGTTGGTGTGGAGAGCTACGAACCAGGAGTGTGCTGTGGCTGTATCCTTGCAGCGTAGGATCAGCGTGTTCCTGCTATCAGGAGAATGGAGTTCTATCAATCTGTGCGGGAAAGAAAAAAAAAAGGTAAGCTAGATCAGAAGTCACCAAACCTGCCAGAGTGTAACATACATAACGGGAAATCCATTTTAGTTTTACATGCCAGAATAGAGATACGTTCTCTTAATTCCTTAGGGCCCAACTTCAGAGAAAACCACATATGGAAAGATAATCATCAGAAAGACTAACTGCTGGGTCTGCTGTTTCAGTGTGTTAATTTAATGATCTCAAATGAAGGAACCTATTGTATGGTCTATAGTAAAACACCTCACTTTGCTTTAATTTCCATGTCAAAAAAATGGAAAGCATGCTTGTTGAATGTCATAGGCACATTGTAAAGAAGGAACCGATATTTTTTTAAATACTTAGAAAATTCTGGTATAAGGTATTGCTAGGTAAATAAATCTGACTGCCAAAGAGTGAACTGAAATTTTCACCATGTGGAATAAAGAAAAAATAACTAAGAATATGATTCCTTATGAAAATCTAAAACTTGGTTTTTAGGGCCTGGGTAGCATTATCTAATTAAATCATCCACTCAGTCATAGTAGAAAAAGAGTTAAGAGATCTTCAGTCCTATGACTGTTATTTGTTAATGCTTAACTGAGAACAACCCAAACTTCAAAAGTCACCTTTAGGAATTTGCTAAATTTCTTTACAAGTACATTAAACAAATTTCTTAGAAAGCAATTTATTGGGTGCTCTTTTCTGTTTTGGTCAAAGTTTTTGCCAAGATGAGTTTAAAAAGTGAAACAAATAAATTAACATATATACACTTCTGTGTTCTACCAGTGAACATATGTATCTTTCAAAAAGGAAAAAAGATAAAGCTCTTAGAAGTGTTTTTCATGGTAGGCTAGAAAGTGACAAACTGCCACTGACCAGGTACAGATCTTTTTATTATTCATCTTTCTGAAGACAGTTTTTGCTGCCTTGAAGCAAGGTCATGAGATCCTGCACCACCTGTCGAAGATAAGCAGTTTACATGGATACTAGCATGCCTGCCTTGAAACTTGCGCCCCTCCCTCTTGCTACTTTTCTAAACCCTTTATGATTCCAAGTATTTCAATTTGCCATGTTTAGTACAGCAAATATTCACTGTCATTTCAACTCTGGTCAGTCTATCGTTTCTTAAGTAAACATTTATTGAGCACTTACTATGTGCCAGCCACAGTGAGACACTGACATTGGAGATACAGTGGTGAAAAAAATAGTCTTTACCTTCATTGGACCTGTTGTCCGATGGGGAAGGCAGAAATTTAACAATTAATATAATTACAGGTTATAAAAAGTGCTCGTATAAAGGACTGTGATAACTACTATGAAGTTCTTGTCTAAAGGAAGCAAGGTGGTAGGGGCAAAGCAAGACTGCAATGGAGGCCTCTCTATCTCTGAGGCACACTTACCCAGCTAGTGTCATGCTTTGAAACAGGTTATAAACACATCTATCTCATACTTATCAACTCACCTATCTAGTCACCTGCCCTCCCACTGAAATTAGTCACCTAGCTACCTGAAAGGCTAGCCACCAGTTTAGCCATGTTTTATATGCCTTCAAAGTTCTAGGGCAATAGCCAAAAGGCCAAAAAATTCTAGAAAATAGCCACAACATAAAATAAGATCTGGGAACAGTCTTAAGCCCATAGAAAGCTCATATTAGTCAGAAAAAAATCTTTAGATAGTAAGTCATAAGCAATTTGAGCTATTTGCTTTTGTTTTGTTCTTCCATGCTGGGTGCGAAACCTGCTTAAGATTCTCTCTCTCTCTCTCTCTCCCTCTCTCCCCCCACAAAAAAGGTAAAAACCACCTAAATGTCCGCCGATGGAATGGATAACCAAATTGTGGTATTATACCAAGAATGGAATATTATGCAGCCTTAAAAAGGAAGGAAATTCTGGCACATGCTACAACATGAGTGAACCTTGAAGACATTATGCTAAGTGAAACAAGCCAGTCACTAAAGGAGAAATATTGTATGAGTCTGCTTATATGAAGTATCTAGAGTATTCAAACTCATAGAAACAAAAATTGAATGGTAGTTGCCAGGGGTTAGGAGGACAGGGGAATAGGGAGTTGTTGTTTAATGGGTATGGAGTTTTAGTTTTGCAAGATGAAAAATTTCTGGAGATTGTTGCACAAATATACTTAATACTACTTAACTATACACTTAAAAATCGTTAAGATGGTAAATTTTATGTTATGCATATTTTACCACAAATAAAAATTGTAATATAGATTAGAAATAATCTTATGGTGGGATGTAAGATGGATTACAGTAGAAAGAGATATGGCCTGGGGAAATTTAACTGGACCCAAGAAGGATGAAACTACAGAGAGCTTACCAGTGGGATAGACTCTTATGCAGGAGGAATTCCTCCATCCTAAAAGCCCAGCAAAAGTAGAAAGAGGAAGATAAACAAATAGCTTAATATTCATATTAACCTTTATTTAGTCCTCTGTGTTATTTTATCATATCTATTCTTTTTGATGTTATTTTTCACTATATCAATTGTTGCTGCCATGATCCTTAAGATACCTATTGGTTAAAAAATTGGTTATATTCTCTGGAAGAAAAACAGCTATTCATTTGTTATGGGAAGATTTAAAATGGTACATTACACTCAGTAACAATAAAATATCATGCTAAAAGACAGAATCATTTCTGTGCTAATTCTTTTAATGAGTTAATAATTGTATTATATAGAGCAACTGCTCAAATAATCATTAAAGTAGTGAAACTTATTATTTTTTTTTAAAGATTTTATTTATTTATTTGACAGAGAGAGACACAGTGAGAGAGGGAACGTAAGCAGGGGGAGTGGGGGAGGGAGAAGCAGGCTTCCCGCCGAGCAGGGAGCCCGATGTGGGACTCGATCCCAGGATCCTGGGATCATGACCTGAGCCGAAGGCAGACGCTTAATGACTGAGCCACCCAGGCGCCCAGTAGCGAAACTTATTTTAAAGTTACTTAATGATAAGTAGTTATCTATAAAATTCAAGGCTAGATTATTAGATAATGTGTGAAAGCAAGTTCTTGTTTATTTTATTTCTTATACTAATCTTAAGAAGAAAAAGTATTTCCAGTATTTCTAGAACTTCCTATGTAACACAGCAATTGAGCACACACATTTAGTCTACTCCTTCCTGAAATCCCACTAAAAACAGTTAAAGGGGATTTTTAAAAAATTTATATATATATATATTTTAAAGATTTTATTTATTTATTTGACAGAGAGAGCGAGAGCAGGAAAACAAGCAGGGGGAGTGGGAGAGGGAGAAGCAGACTCCTCACTGAGCAGGAAGCCCAATGCAGGGCTCGATCCCAGGACCCTGAGATCATGACCTGAGGCGAAGGCAGACGCTTAACGACTGAGCTACCCAGGCGCCCCTTAAAGGGGATTTTTGAAAAACTTAATGGATTTTTTCTTTTAGCAGTATTAGGTTTACATAAAAAAACTGAGTAAGAAGTACAGGGAACTACCAAAGACCCTTCCCTGCCTCTCTACAATACACCCTATTATTAACATCTTGCATTAGTGTGGTCCATTTGTTACTGCTGATGAGCCAGCCAATATTGATATAATATTATTTACTAAAATCCCAGGTCACTCTTTGTGTTGTATATTCTGAGTTTTGACAAATGTATGCCATATATCTACCATTACTATATTCCACAGAATCATAATTTCACTGCTCTAAAAATCCCCTGTGATCCACCTATTGATCCTCCATCACTCAGGCCCTGGCCCTGACTCCTAGCAACTACTAATCATTTTACTGTCTCCATGGAATCATATAGTATGTCACTTTCTCAGACTGGCTTCTTTCACTTAGCAATATGCATTTAAGGTTCCTCCATGTCTTTTGTGGCTTGGGAGCTCATTTCTTTTTCTTTTTCTTATAAAAAGATCTACGATTTATTATTTTTTTAATTTAAATTGAATTAATTAACCTATAATGTATTATTGGTTTATTTGACAGAGAGAGAGACAGCAAGAGAGGGAACACAAGCAGGGAGAGTGTGAGAGGGAGAAGCACGCTTCCCGCCGAGCAGTAAGCCGTGCGGGGCACGATCCCAGGACCCCGGGATCATGACCTAAGCTGAAGGCAGATGCTTAACGACTGAGCCACCCAGGCGCCCCATGTATTATTGGTTTAAGAGGTCAGGTCTGTGATTCATCAGTCTTATATAATACCCAGTGGTCATTACCACACATACCCTCCCCAGTGTCCATCACCCATTTACCTCATCCTTCCACCCCCCTCCCCTCCAGCAACCCTCAGTTTGTTTCCTATGAGTAAGAGTCTCTTATGGTTTGTCTCCCTCTCTGGTTTCATCTTGTTTCATTTTTTCCTCTCTTCCCCTATGATCCTCTGCCTTGTTTCTTAAATTCCACATATCAGTAAGATCATACGATAATTGTCTTTTTCAGATTGACTTATTTCGCTTAGCATAATACCCTCTAGTTCCATCCACGTTGTTGCAAATGGCAAGATTTCAGTTTTTGATGGCTGCGTAATATTCCAGTGTGTGTGTGTGTGTGTGTGTGTACACCACATCTTCATCCATTCATCTGTCGATGGACATCTGGGCTCTTTCCATAGTTTGGCTATTGTGGACACTGCTGCTATAAACATCGGGGTGCAGGTATCCCTTTGGATCACTACATTTGTATCTTTGGGGTAAATACCCAGTAGTGCAATTGCTGGATCGTATGGTAGCTCTATTTTCAACTTTTTGAGGAACCTCCACACTGTTTTCCAGAGTGGCTGCACCAGCTTGCATTCCCACCAACAATGTAGGAGGGTTCCCCTTTCTCTGCATCCCCACCAACATCTGTCATTTCCTGACTTGTTAATTTTAGCCATTCTGACTGTGTGAGGTGGTATCTCTTTGTGGTTTTAATTTGTATTTCCCCGATGCCAAGTGATGTTGAGCACTTTTTCATGTGTCTGTTGGCCATCTGGATGTCTTCTTTGCATAAATGTCTGTTCATGTCTTC